GCTCAGGCTGACGTAAGTGACCGGAAGTGAAATTTCACCTCCTTAGCAACGCGCGCGAGCGCGCGCATGAATCGGTTAATGGGCCCTTAACAATTCAAAAAATATCGTCCTTATACTGTTCTACGAGAATTTTGTCTCCGAGCAAAGGCACCCAGTCATAATTTTAGCATCGTCTTGACCAAAAATACAAAATCCCTCCCAAATTAGTTTTACTCTGGTTGGTTCTGCTCGTATTTTTGTCACTTTTATTTACCTCTGTCCATGTTTTCTGTCATGTTTTTGAGTGTTTTCTCTCGCAGTTGGCAAAAGCAACTGAAAACTCTAAACATGTGTAAACATGCAACTTTCAACCTCGTTTGCTAAAAGTTATTCCACTAAGAGGAAATGTCATTTATGTCAATCACTGTATTTTTGGCTTAGCAAGTTATGTAAGCATGGCTACAAATCATTCTGAGAACACCAGCTACATAGCATTTCTCGATAAACATTCTGACCCCATGTTTTTCTTCACAATTGCCTGGTAGTTTTCCACGCCGTTGAAAAATATACTTCCGTTGTGGGCTGTGCCTGCCGCGAGAAGAAAAAGTAAATATATACACTTGTAGCGCGCGTCCGCATCGGGGAGCTGAAAAATTTAGACTCCTCAGCTGGGTATTTTTTTAGCAGGGAGGCCGTGATCTGTGAAAGGCGGGTTCATACAACGCTTCTCACGAGAAAGAAAATCAAAGCCTTTGGCTTTTCCTATTTATTTTGATCTATGTGCAGCTAATGTATGTTAATTTACACTAAAGCTAACTAAGCGTTTCAATTTTAAGGAGCTCGATATAAAAACAGGAACTGATATGGAAACATTTCGTGCACGATCGGTGTTTTATAGGTGGTTGGCTATGGTTTAGTCCGAAGAACTGATTCTCATATACCACCCATGGTATTTCTAAACGTTTCTAGAAGTAAGAAATAAAACGTTTGATTTCAAGCACCCTAATGACGCCTCAGTCGATTGGCCAATATTATAAACGATCTATCAGTTGAATTACCTCATGAAGCCATTCTACTCTATAAGCTTGCGACGATGTATGAAGGAAAAATATTTCCACTTTTTAGCTGGCTTTAAATGATCCAAGTGCGTTGCAGCTATTTCCTGTGCGACTTGAAATAAATCTAGGCAGTAATCTCCTCTCGATATAGCGATATTGTGTTTGCGTCAAGCAATGCTGAACCAATGGCTCCATCGTATCGAGTGGATCCAAAACTTTCCATTAGCTCAAGTTTAAAAACAAAGCAATGGTTGACAATGAAGTTCACAGCTAAAGTTATCACCCCCTACTGTGAAGCACATTAGAGTAAATGTAAATATTTTTTTGTAGTGTGTTAGTTACAATTATTTTAGCCTTACGTGCAATCCACCCTTGACGAAGAAGAGATACAAAAAGCTACTTTTTTAAAACTTTGAGAAGAAAGCTTGGGGAACAGTAATTCTTTTCACTTCCGATACAGTGCGTGAAATGATATTATTACCTTTTAGATGCTCTTTGTTGTTGTTATTTCCCACGTAACACTCCATTAATATTATTTCAGTTTGACGCGGGTAGAAGGAAGAAAATAAGTTTTACCTCCTTCCAGAAGCTCACGCCTGATTTAGTTTTCTGTAAACGGAAAAACAAACTTAACCGGCCAGTTCCTTTTAATATAAGTTGGGGAAAGTTTCTCATTGCCTTGACAGCTATAATGAACAAATCCAGAATAGTATAGTAAGTGCTTGAGACAAATTTCACGGCCGGCTGAGAGTGCTTGACCAAGCTAGCGCTGTGGAGTATAATTGTTGAACTGGTGAAGAGTCAAGGTACTTTTTTGCTTTTGATTTTGCCCTTGCACTATGTGGAATCCACCTAATCGTTAGGTATGTTTATCTAACTTCAGTTTCTTCGCTTAATATGATTTAAGCTTGTCTCGCTAAAAACGCAATTGTTATGACGAATTTTGTTGTTAAATAGACCAAACATTCCGCCATACGACACGCTCCCCTAAGGAAAAAAAAAATACTTTGATCGGTTGTTATATATCTACACCATTATCATGTCCGATAAACTTTCACCTGCATGATTTCTGAAAACACAATGCTTACAATATTTAGTCAAAATAACTTTAAAAGGTCTAAAAACACAAATTAACTGGCTCAATATTTATGTATTTTGAATAAACTTGATAATCAAATTTCACTGATTTAAATATTGGCCCAGAAACAAGATTTTATTTTTTATCTTGGCGAAATTAAACATTAATCGATATTTTCATTCTAAGATCTCAAGATCTTCCTTTAACTGCCCATTTACCTTAATTGAGCGAGAAAATAGCAACATAGAGACACTTAAATACTGAAATCCCTCTTAACTCCATCGAAAATTAACACATTTACCTCAAACTGAGTATCTTAAAGAACTAGGTTCGAGAACCGTCGATTAGACGTATGTAAATGCGATTCGTTGCGACGATTTCTTCAATTTTCGTTAACCGCCAGCTTGATTATATTTTTCATTTACATCCTATGAAAAGGAATAAATCGTTGACTGGTGATCAGAAAGGCCGTAAACTCACCTAGGGCTGGTCAACTGCGGCATTCGGGTCACTCACCCATAGTCGGGCAGATGTTAAAGAAATAAAGCCATTTTTTAAATTCAAAATTAACTGGAAAAACTGTGATCCACGATTTGAAAAGATTTCAACTTAATCTCTTCACTGTACAGATTTACAGATTCCATAATTAATTGACTGACACTAAGGAATCAAAAAGAAAAGTGCGATTTTTAACGCAGTTGTTGAATCAGTCTGAACGGAAAGATATTATAAACTGTTGTTAAGAACATGAAAAACTAACTTACTAAGATGGTTCTGAGAAGTCGAGAGGATTCACCATGTCTGATATGTAGAAATTACAAGGGACATTGACTAGTGAACTCATTAATGAAGCTTTCCAAACTATGAATAGTCCAGTTTTCAATTTGACGGGGGTGATTACACCAATTAGAAATCATGTTTGTACGAACAGGTTCGTCGATAAGATCGTTCAACACGGATAAAATTATGGTCGAGTTCTTTTCTTTTTCTTTAATGTTTCACTTAACAAGGGAAATGCAAATATTATCCATTGTATTATTACTGTATTTAAAATTTGACGACCTTAAATGCGTGGTATTATAGGGTTTCACTTTAGATAAATAGATAAACTGATGAATTTCAGGTATATGAATAAGTAGTCAAGAAAACAATAATTCTCTGAGAAGTACCTAGCAGCTCATTTGCCATTTTAAACTCTTTTCATTCCCGCGACATTAGGGTACCGACCGCACATTTTAAGTTTCATCAATCATATGACTTTGAATAATATAATTTTCACCAAGCTACGTAGAGTGGGTGCAAAACGATAGACTTGATAAATGAGCGTGAGTAGCCTAGATAAGCTACGAAAGAAGACCAGCTATGAATATGAAAAATAGCAGACGCCTTCACTGAGATTAACAGTGGTGCGACTGAATAATTTTTACAAGAAGTACCGCGCTATTTTATAATTTTGAAACTAAACGTGATGGTTTCCGCTGGATTTGCACAGGTCTACCGCCGTTTTTAGGCAAAAATACATTTTGCCGTCAGCAGCATGAGATCTCTTCAACATTTCGTGTTAAAAACGTAGAAGTCAACACTGTACGCGGTACAACGTTGATTGTTTACAAACGAAAATCTACCAGATATTTAATCTGCTTACTTTGAGGAAAGAAGTCCCCTTTGGGCTTGTCGTTAACTTTACATTGTCATTCCTTGAAGTAAAACAACGACCAACATGAAAACTGCTGCCGCAAATTCGACGCTAAAGAGCTAAAACTCTTGAAATCTTGAAATCTCGAAATCTGTTAAGTGAAATCTTGGAATCTTGATAGCTTTAAAATCTTGAACTGAATTAATAAATCTTTAAAAACGTCAAAACGTCACTTTATTTGTTCCACGTCGTGTGCTTCTTGACCGTTTTAAATTTGACTTTAATTTCCAAACCATATATTTTAACTTCAACGTTTCGTCCAAAACAGTTGCTTAAATAGAATATCTGTGCTCGGTAAATATGACCAGAGAACACTACTTTTTTTGTTTGTTTCAAAATAGTATCTCGATATTACTCACATTTTGTTCCACACACTAGTGCTTTCATCTTCACAAGTTTCTTAATACTGTTAAAGTGGCCTTATCAGTTCTCCTCAGACCACGTTAACCGCTCACTTCTGACTAACCAGCTGGCTGCGACATCACAGCAATTTAACATTGCAAGAAATTAACTGGCTCTAGTCATTTTTGTTCAAATTCCACCCACGCAATGACTACCACATCGCTTGCAAAGAGATCGATGGCAATCCGTTTGACGGTTTTATTGGGCGCTATTCAATTCCCAGGTCGTGGGCGAGTACGTAGCTGCCTACTCGCTAAACTAGGCTGATTTAGCCAGAGAACGGGAACGTCAGTTGACGACGGCGCGCGCAGAACAAACACCCAAATATGGTCAAATTAGACCAGAATCCAGGATATTCCGCGCGCCCTGCAGTCGTCATCTGACGATATTTGGGTATTTGTACTGCGCGCGCCGTCGTCAAGTGGCGTTCCCGTTCTCTTGCTAAATCAGCCTAATGTTACATTGGGGAGGTGACAGGAAGAAAAGTAAATCAGCCTAATGGTGCGTCTGTCGTACTTGTTTTGCGCGGGCACTACGCCATCTGTAGGTACATGCTTACAGCTGGATTTCAGCATAATTTTCAACAGATAGCAGCTAGGTTTTCAGCTGGAAGCCGTCGACAGTTAGTGGTTAGCAATACGCTGCTGTTCTGGTATTCCTGGTGTCAGTACAGGTTCAATAAACTTGATTTGGTCACAGTATAAAAATTTTGCTTTCATTGCCAGATCAAGCGCGTGGGGGGCGGTTAAACCGTGCCTTTCGTGATGCACAGAACGTGTGCGCACTAACAATAGTAGTCATTAGTAATTGGAACTCGTGTTGCACAATTTAGGGAGTGATGCTAGTTAAAAACGTCTACCGATCGAAACCACCGAAATCCAACGCCCTTTCGTAGTAGAACTCTGATAGGTTCAGTGACGGTTGCCAGATTTGGGATGAACTTTCCCAGATAATTGACTGTTCCAAAGAGTCTTTCTAATCCTTTCTTATCAGTTGGTGATGGCACTTTCCAGGACTGCTAGTAGACGATGGTGACGTTTTACTTCTGTTTCTGCATGCACTATTATGTCATCGATGTCGGTTTCTACTCCTTCCAATTCGCCAAAGTGTTGACTCATCCGCTTTTGAAAGACCTCTTGGGCAGATGTGATTCCGAATGGAGTGACCTGATAGCAGTACTGCCCAACCGGTGTATTGAGGGTAGTTAGAAGTTGACTTTCTTCGTCAAGAGGCATCTGCCAGTATCCTCGGTTTGCATCTAGCTTGGCGAACCATTTTGCATTTGCCATGCGTGTAGTGATGTCTTTGATGATGGGTAGGGGAAATTGTTCTCGCTTTATTGCTTTATTAAACAGATCCGCAAACTCAGAACTACCATTAGCCTTTTCAACAATGGCCAAAGAACTGATCCAATCAGTGAGTTCTTCTACCTTGCGAAAAATACCTCGCTTTTCCATGTCATCTAATTCTTCTTTCACTCTGTCGCGAATAGCTGCTGGGACGGTTCTAGGCGAGCTAACGACAGGTGTTACAGTAGGGTCTAATTCAATATGGTAAGGTTTCTACAAACGTTCCAACCNCGACAGTTAGTGGTTAGCAATACGCTGCTGTTCTGGTATTCCTGGTGTTAGTACAGGTTCAATAAACTTGATTTGGTCACAGTATAAAAATTTTGCTTTCATTTTAGTGGTGTACTTGCAGCGTAGCTGATTACGTCAATTGCCAGATCAAGCGCGTGGGGGGCGGTTAAACCATGCCTTGCGTGATGCACAGAACGTGTGCGCACTAACAAAAGTAGTCATTAGTAATTGGAACTCGTGTTGCACAATTCAGGGAGTGATGCTAGTTAAAAACGTCTACTGATCGAAACCACCGAAATCCAATGTCCTTTCGTAGTAGAACTCTGATAGGTTCAGTGACAGTTGCCAGATTTGAGATGAACTTTCCCAGATAATTGACTGTTCCAAAGAGTCTTTCTAATCCTTTCTTATCAGTTGGTGATGGCACTTTCCAGGACTGCTAGTAGACGATGGTGACGTTTTACTTCTGTTTCTGCATGCACTATTATGTCATCGATGTCGGTTTCTACTCCTTCCAATTCGCCAAAGTGTTGACTCATCCGCTTTTGAAAGACCTCTTGGGCAGATGTGATTCCGAATGGAGTGACCTGATAGCAGTACTGCCCAACCGGTGTATTGAGGGTAGTTAGAAGTTGACTTTCTTCGTCAAGAGGCATCTGCCAGTATCCTCGGTTTGCATCTAGCTTGGCGAACCATTTTGCATTTGCCATGCGTGTAGTGATGTCTTTGATGATGGGTAGGGGAAATTGTTCTCGCTTTATTGCTTTATTAAACAGATCCGCAAACTCAGAACTACCATTAGCCTTTTCAACAATGGCCAAAGAACTGATCCAATCAGTGAGTTCTTCTACCTTGCGAAAAATACCTCGCTTTTCCATGTCATCTAATTCTTCTTTCACTCTGTCGCGAATAGCTGCTGGGACGGTTCTAGGCGAGCTAACGACAGGTGT